TATTTGTATCAGTGTTACACATCATTGAACATGCTGGTAAACAATGACTCTAATTTCAATTTATTTAATGCGAAAAATTTGATGAATGAAATGTGTTTAAATTTCTTTCGGGATTAATTAATTTTGAACATAATCTAAAGCTCCCACTCTGGTGATTTACAGATGTACACTCTAACATTTACAAATAAAACACTTAAAACTGAGTTTTACAGAACTAGGCATTAACGATGATTAAACTGACATGTCAGTGAAAATAATCATGACTGAAAAATAATAATTGGCAAAATTAACACGGAATTTTTTTACAAGCCCCAATACTTAAGAAAACTCTAACTTTAGAGTATCCCGATAGTCTAAACTGGCCATATAATGATAAGATCTATTTAGATCTAAAACTTCTTCTGGTGGAAAATATTTAATTCACGTTTAATTTTCTGTATAAAAAATAAATATGGGAACCAGTATCAATCACAGAAGAATTATTAATATACCCAAGAATTGTGATTAAATATTCATGTTCAGTGTAATTCATATATGTATATGTAAGTGTGAAAGCCTTCTTCCTCCAATAAATATTATTACATTTGTAATAATTATTTCAATTTTTATGCGCGTACATGTTCTGTTCATAAATGACCTTCGCGTACATGTAAGGATTCCTGGCATACTACACAGTATCAATTTCTACTGCCTTTTATAGTTCCGTTGTTTATTGGAAATCTCATTTCTGAGTTAGCTCCACCCATTAAATTAATAAACCCCGCCCACTGGGACTGCTGGGGCTGCTTTCTGGGACTGCTTGGACTGCTCTCTGGGACCGCTGGGACTGCTGGGACCGCTCTGGGACTGCTGTGGGACTGCTCTGGGACCGCTGTGGGACTGCTTTAGCAGTCCCAGAAAGCAGTCCCCGGGACTGCTTTGTGTCAGGTTGGGTCTGGTCGGTACTGTATATAGGAGAAATCTTTAAAAATTTCTTCTCCAGAATCAATGGGCCAGGAAAGATGGAACTCATGTGGAATCATCCTCAGGTAGTGTAGATTCAAGGTTGTTCAAATCATGACCCCCGGGGCTAGGGTGGGGCCAAAATGGCCGACCCAAGTTTTACAAAGGGATATATAGGGAAACCTTTTAAAATCTTCTTTTCAAGTACTTCAAAGCTATGATTAGTGATATTTATATAGATTCATCCTCAGGTAATGTAGATTCTAGTTTGTTCAAATGATGAATGCCTGGGGGGGGGGGGGGGTTAAATTCAAGCCTGATGTGCTCAGGTGAGCGCTGTGGCCCCTGGGCCTCTTGTTGGTTTAACTTTTCAAAATTATTTTTGATTAAATGTGAGGGGTTTATTCAACCCATAAATAACAGTATCTTATTTTAAAAATGTAAACAAAAAAGTATGCTTATTACATTTTTACAGACGAATCCTCCTAGCGCCTATGACATTTTGGTGTGTACTACTTTTGGACACAAGCCCATGCTGAAGGAGAGAATGACCATTGTAAGAGATCTGTGGGCAGCAGGACTCAGGGCCGAAATCTACCTAGATAGCATGCAGGTAAAGTTAAATCTACTTAGACAGCATGCAGGTAAAGTAAAATCTACTTAGACAGTATGCAGGTAAAGTTAAATCTACATAGATAGCATGCAGGTAAAGTTAAATCTACTTAAACAGCATGCAGGTAAAGTTACATCCACTTAGTCAGCTTGCAGGTAAAGTTAAATCTACTTAGACAGCATGCAGGTAAAGTTAAATCTACTTAGACAGCATGCAGGTAAAGTTAAATTTACCTAGACAGCATGCAGGTAAAGTAAAATCTACTTAGACAGCATGCAGGTAAAGTAAAATCTTCTTAGTCAGCATGCAGGTAAAGTTACATCAACTTAGTCAGCATGCAGGTAAAGTAAAATCTACTTAGACAGCATGCAAGTAAAGTAAAATTTACCTAGACAGCATGCAGGTAAAGTAAAATCTACTTAGTCAGCATGCAGGTAAAGTTACATCCACTTAGTCAGCATGCAGGTAAAGTAAAATCTACTTAGACAGCATGCAGGTAAAGTAAAATTTACCTAGACAGCATGCAGGTAAAGTAAAATCTACTTAGACAGCATGCAGGTAAAGTTAAATCTACTTAGACAGCATGCAGGTAAAGTTAAATCTACTTAGACAGCATGCAGGTAAAGTAAAATCTACTTAGACAGCATGCAAGTAAAGTAAAATTTACCTAGACAGCATGCAGGTAAAGTAAAATCTACTTAGACAGCATGCAGGTAAAGTAAAATCTACTTAGACAGCATGCAGGTAAAGTAAAATCTACTTAGACAGCATGCAAGTAAAGTAAAATTTACCCAGACAGCATGCAGGTAAAGTAAAATCTACTTAGACAGCATGCAGGTAAAGTAAAATCTACCTAGACAGCATGCAAGAAAAAACATAAAGATTTCAAAATGTTTAATGATGAATCATGATTTAAATCTGTTGCAAATACTGTAAATGTATTAAATTTACCAGTGTATTCTATTTAGCTATTTTAGCGGAAAACATCATCCGCTAAATCAAGTACATGGCTAAATGTCTTGTTTATCATAGATTTATATAAAGCACATTCAGATAGCGCTAAATCAAATCTACACTAACTTGCTGAGACATGAATTTCCGCCAAATATCATACACACCCAATATAATACATTTACAGTAACAGTTGGTACACTATCCAGAAGATTCAATAAACAGATGCCTTGCAGAAAGTTATTGTTCATGGGGACGTAAGTTTGTGAGTGAAAATGAGACACAAAATCTAGGAACGTTTCTAATTTCAGGCACAAGAAGACATACAGGACTTCTGTCGCAGTAATGGAGTAGCCTTTATGGTCACCTTGCAGGAGGGGGATACTACAATCAAGGTCAGATATTAACGTACCGTATAAGTGGAAATTTTAGCGAGACGCAAATTTAGCGATTTCTGGTAAAATCTGGTATTTTATTTTTAGCGAGAAGCAATTTTAGCGATTTTAAAATGCTAACTAAAAGAAGCTATTACAAATAATATGCAATTGATTTTTAGCGATATTCAATTTTAGCCATGTCAGCACCCTCGCTAACAATGCCAAAATTAAATCCTCGCTAAAAATTCTACTTACACAGTATTATATTTTATTTCAAGTGTTTTTTGCCTTTGTTATACAATGAAATCAATAAAATGTTAACTGAGTTGTTAAATGAACAAAAAGATTTTGGTAATTCATGGGGGGAATTCAGGAGTGAATGAAAATGTGAATAGGCACATGCAATTTAGAACAATTCATTATAATTAACATTACAAGAACAAGGGTGTAAGCTTAAACTTTTTGAATAGGTGAGATCAATAGAAAAGGACAAAATTACGGAGAAGAAACTGACAGCAAATAGTCAAGTGGTGGATTTCCTACAACAGAAGTTGCAGGCATCATCTAAAAAGTAAGTTACAATAGTTAACTTAATATCATGGGATATACACTACCTGTTACAGTTTTAGAAGCAGGTCTCATTCCAAAGTAACTATAATTCATATGGTGACTAATTAAACTTGCATGGCTGATGTATTTAGCGATTCACATTTCAAAACTGGCTTTGGTCTGCTGGATCTGACCTTTGTGATTCAGAAGAGAGAACAGGTTGAAGTCTTTGGACCAGGTTCTTTCTTAAATTTGTGTAATCCCTACCTTGACCGTGCATGAATGAAGCATTCAGGAATACTCACTTTCAGATTGGCTGTAGAACCTGGTCTTTATTTTCTGGAGCGACCAGGTGAATGATTGTGGAGCAGATTTTTCCAGAGTAATTATAAGCTCTGTAGTGACCAAACTTGATGTTACATGTTATTGTGTATACACACTACCAGACATTACTTGTTTTCAGAGAGCAGTCAGAACCAAACCAGGGCACCCCTTGTAAGAATATAGCAGTCCTGAATTATCCTGAGGCCAACACGTCTAACTACAGCAGCAACATGCTCATCAACTTCAACTTTGTCATCGAGAACGGAAAACTGGCCACAAAATCCAGATATAAATATGAATCTCAGGTAAATTTGAGCTGGATTTTACATTTTGAATTTTTGTGTTTAATTTTTTATTACACCACTTTTCCCACCCCCCTTTCCCCTCCAAAAAAAAATTTGCATTGAATTTTTTCAAATGTTATTTATTTTATTTATTTATTTTTTTTAGATATTTGCCAAAGTGAGTTCTTCCTTTCCCTGGTTGCCCAAAAAATCCATAGAAGTAATTGCTATGGAACTGACAGCACCAGTGCTGAAGTGCATTGTGGCATTCTTAGAGGTAAAAGGGTCTATGTCGTAATCAGAAATTAAACCAGAAATTGTGTAAAAATTCGGCAAATTGATGACTGGTACAAATTTATTCAAACACCACAATTAAATTTTGTAATTTCTTCCAATACCATTTTAATCAATGAACACCATATTTTGATAAAGAATCAAAAGTCTGTGGTCTGAAGTGTTCTATATTCTTAAAATGGATTTATGCTTAATATTTTCATTCCCTATAGTTTTAAAAAATATGTACTTACCTGATATAACAAGTTAAATTGTTATGAGTCAAAATTTTTCATTCTTTATAACATTTCAGTTTAACAAAAAGCTGATTCCCAATGATCTTTTACAGGTGAATGGCACGGAACAAGAGTTTGAGGACAGCATAGGACTGGTGATAGATAAGTAAGAGAAATTTTATACTGGTACCAAAATATACACCAATCATTTACCGTATATACTCGCCTATAAGTCAGTTTTTTTGGGAGTTAAATTTTAGCCCAAATCTCTATGTCCCACTTATATGCGAGTCACAAAGATATTGGTATTTTTCTGGAAAGTGAAATGTAGCAGTTTATATACATGTACATATATTTCTGATGATTACTGAAGAACAAAGCCTATATATGTATAATAATGTATGCAATCAAAGATTGTATATATAGAAAAAGTATTTACTTACTTTAATAT